ACAATTACAAAAGATGTAATACAAATATGAGAACACCAGAAAAAATAATAGCTCAGTGGTAATGTTCTCCTGGGTTCAGTTCCCAGTACTGGGACCAAAAAAAAAAAAAAAAAAAAAAAATCACATTATTAGACTTCTCTTCAGAAATCATACAAAGGAGAGAACTGAGTAAAATACAGACAATCTCTGACTTAACTTTTTGCAAATTTATGTCGGTACAAAATTGATATGTATTCAGTAGAAACATACTGCAAATTTGAATTTTTATTTTCCCAGGCTAGTGATGAACAGTATAATACTCTCTCAAGATGCTGAAATGGCACCAAGCCATAGCTTCCCATCAGCCACCCAAACACAAGGGTAAACAACTGATAATCTAAAGCATCTTGTGTTGTTAGCCTATGATGGTCAGTAGGTATGTTAACTCAGCTTTCTATTGTTAACAAAATACCTGAGAAAATCAACTTAAAGAAAGAGGGATTTGCCTGGTATGGTTGTGCATATCTGTGTTTCCAGCAATTTGGGAGGCTGAGACAGAAGGATTACAAATTCAAGGCCAGCCTCAGCAACTTAGTGAAATCCTCTTACAAAATAAATAAGGACTGGGGAAGTATCTCATTGGTAAAGCATGCCTGGGTTCAATTCCCAAAGAAAGAGAGAGAGAGAGAGACATCGAGATCCAGACTGTAACAGGTTAGGTGTATTAAATGCATTTTAAAAAATTAATGTGTGTGTGTGTGTGTACTATTTATATATATGTAAACATATATAAATATATATATAACACACACATATATGTCTATATTTAGTTGTTAATAGACCTTTATTTTATTTAAACGCAGTGCTGAGAAGTTAACCCAGTGTCACACATAGTAAGCAGGTGCTCTACCTCTGAGCCACAATCCYAGTCCCTAAATGCTAATTGGGTACCAGGGATTGAACTCGGGGGCACCCAATCACTAAGCCACATCCCCAGCSATATTTTGTATTTTATTTAGAGATAGGGTCTCACTGAGTTGCTTAGCACCTTGCTTTTTTCTGAGGTTGGTTTTGAACTTGTGATCCTCTTGTCTCAGCCTCCTGAGCTGCTGAGATTTTAGGCCGCGCCCAGCCCAAATACTTTTTTTTTAAAAACGTGGTGTTTTTTTTGTAGTTGTAGAAGGACAGAATGCCTTTATTTTTGTTTTTTATTTTTATGTGATGCTGAGGATCAAACCCAGTGCCTYGCATATATTAGAGCTCTGCCAGTGAGCTATGGCCCCAGCCCCTAAATGCAGTTTTGACTTGCAGTATTTTCAATTTATGATGATCTTATCAGTACATAGCACCATTTTAAGGAACATCTGTACCTGAAATGTGGAAAGAAAAACACATCAACTTAAAATTCTATATACAAGGAAATTATCCTTCAAAAGTGATGGAGAAATAAAGACTGTCTTAGGCAAAGAAAAATTGGGGTAATTTGTTCCCTGCCTTGCAAGAAATGTGAAAATATGTTCTTCTGAAAGAAAGAAAATGATATAGGCCAGAAATGTAGATCTACATAAAGAAAGGAAGAGCATTAGAGAAGTGAATGAAATCAGAATATTTTTTCTTCTTAGCTGCTCTAACAGAGAATAGTTTAAAATAGTAACAGGTAATAATAATAATAATAATAATAATAAAACTATAGCTTATGGACAAATGAATGACTACAATGGTATAAGGGACAGGAGAGAGGCACTGGGAATACTCTGTTTAAAGTAATTGTGCTACCCATGAAATAATAGTACAGTTTACTTCTATGTGGATTTGGATTAGTTGTAAATGTAAACTTCAAACTCTGGGGTAACCACTAAAATTTTTTTTTTCATGAGTATAATTAATATCCTAAAGGAAGAGAAAAAAATAGAATTCTAAAAATGCTCAATTAAAACCGGAGAAGGCAGAAGAAAAAGAACGGAAGACAAAAAAAAGAAAGAATAGGAAATATTTATTTACAAATTTGGTAGACATTATTCTGTATATATCAATAATCACTTTAAACGTGAATAGTCTTAAGAAAAATCTGTTTCTTAAACTATTAAGTCATTTCAGGGATCACTAATATGTACTTGGGACACTAAAAAATATTTTAAGTAACATTTAAATACCTCAAAAATCTTGTGGCCCCCTCATAAATCATTGAGAGGATAATCGATAAAGGGTTTGTAGATGTTTAAACTTAATTCTACTCTTTGCTTAATCAAATTGAATTCCAGCAGTGCTCTAAAGTATAATTTTCTCATTTTGCTGAAAAGGACAATAACCAGGTTAGCATCTTTAATATTCAAAAAATACAACAGTAAAATTAATTTTGCCAAATATCCAATGTCACTGTAGTTTGTAATTTCTAATTAACCAAAGCTGAATCAAAAGGGAGTTAAATGGGACAAACTATGTTATATGTATTTATGAATATGTCAAAATGATTCCCACTGTTACGTATTACTAGAATTTACTAATTTAAAAATTATTTTAAGTTGGAGGTTTATAATTTTGGTGGTGGGTACTGAAGACTGAACCCAGGGGTATTTTACCATTGAGCTACATTCCCAGTCCTTTTTATTTTGAGACTGGGTCTCATTAGTTTGCCCAGGCTGGTCTAGAACTTGTGATTCTCTTGCCCCRGACTCAGAAGTCACTGAGATTACAGGAATGTGCCATCATTCACAGCTGGATATTTTTTTTTTAATGTACCATTTCCCCCCCAGTACTGGAGATTGAACCCAGCCACACTCTTAGCACTGAGCTATATTCCCCAGCTCTTTTTATTTTGTATTTTTGTATTATATATATATATAATATCAGTGGTAAAGCACCCCTGGATTCAATCGCCAGTACCAATTAAATAAATGTTCTTACTCATCTATAGAAACAGATCGTGCTACAGTAGCTAATTCTTCTCCACCATTTGGACTGCACACCACCACTAATGGGTATTGCTTTCTATAATCATATTCCAAAAAACTAGATGAAAAATTGCAGATAGAGATTTCTGTAATTGGCATGCATAGAARTAAAGAATTAGTTAATGATAAAGGCTGGCAACATTTTAAACCTTCATGTTTTATAAACAAAATTTTCCATTTAATGGGAACTACATTCTTTAAAATAGAGAATTATCTTCTGTAGACAAAACRTTCAGGATTTAATCCAAACAGAACAACATTCATATTTGAAAGCACTTTGATAACTCAAGGCCGAAAATCCCACACTGTGCTTGTTGTTAGTCCATTGTTTTCCTTCCTGGTAGCCTCTGGAAGTGAATATTCTACTACTTTGTGCAACTGATGCTGAATGCTGTGTCCACTGAACTGGGGCCGTCCAGGGTCACCAATCAGTACTCGAGTTCCGTAGGTCCAAAAGCAGTTCTTCAACCACTGATRAAGACTGTCTGCAAGATCTTCATCATAAAACATATCTCCAAGTACAACAAGTTCCCACTTATCTTGTTCCAAATTCAAAATGTTTTTGGTTAAAATGGGAATAGGATCCAGTTGGTTCAATTCACAATTTAGTGTAATAGCCAGTCCTGCAACTTTACAAAAGCACATAATGAATTGGTATGTTAGCATATGCCAATAGGCTATCTTAGTTTCCTATTGATTCAATAACTTTTAAAATATTCTAACAGTATTTTTTCCTTTTCATGAAAAGTTGTATTTTTAGGTAAAGAAGCCTAAAATTTATGCCAATATAAGTTATCTGCTGCAATTTCCAAATATATAACTAGATATCCTGAAAGCAAAATAAACAATACAGAACACCTGGAAATATTGGGATTTGAGGAACGTTTGCTGATTTTAATAACTAGGCTGTCTTTTTCTTTCTTTTTTCTTTTTTTTTTTTTTTTTTTTTTGTTTTACTGTAGACAGGGGAAAAAGCCCTAGACTTAAGTAAAGGCAGCAAGTTATAAGTGTAGGCAAGAAGAAAAAATTAAAATTTACCTGTTTCAACTTGGGCCCTAATGGAATAAAAATCTCCTCCAAAGAAACATGCTTATCCTCACTTGGGTTTTGACCAAATAAACACTACTTAGACATTTAGGAGATTCCTAGCCCAGAAACCAGCATAAGCATTCCTAGTTGGTTTCCCTTGGGGATATCTGATGACACAAATACAAATACTCTTAGGAAAAAACATATTGCCACTTCTGGCCTCAGAGGACTCCCAATGTCCCACCAAACATAAGCTCACATTATCAGATTATAAAACACAAATGACAGTAAGATATCATGTTGAAGCATCTGTATATATTTATTCTGGAAGAAAATAAAAAAGGTGAGCTTTAGATATTTTTAAATATGAAATCCTTACTCGGGTCTATGTCATTGGCCAAGATCCTAGATGCTCCACTCTTCTTAGCAGCAATAGCTGTAGCTCCACATCCACTTCCAATATCTAATACAGATTTTCCTCTGACAACATCAGGATTATCCAAAAGATACCTTAAATAAAAAGGAGAACACGTCTTGAAGAAATGGGAAAATGTTAGGAGAGATCATAATATAAAAATGTCTTTTTTTTTTTTTTAAGACAGAGTGAGAGAGGAGAGARAGAAAACTTTTAATATTTATTTTTTAGTTCTCAGCAGACACAACATCTTTGTTGGTATGTGGTGCTGAGGATCGAACCYGGGCCGCACGCATGCCAGGCGAGCGCACTACTGCTTGAGCCACATCCCCAGCCCATATAAAAATGTCTTTGGGTTTGACTGGGCAAAGAAACAGTAGAACTTAGGAGAACTTGGTACAAACTTGCAAGTTGTATTGACTAGACTGAGACAAACAGTTGATCTATAGAACTGGGCAGAGGTGGCAAGGAAAAGAAATTAGTTAATTTGGTCTTTCTATTCAGGTGAAGAGTAGTTCCACACAACAAACTAATCATGCTCTTCAAGTCAATTTAAAAACAAAAAAACATTAGGTTGTCTTACTATGATCCAGGAACTACCAAGCACCAGAAATTAAGACTGACAAAATACTGCTATCATCAGAACTAACTAGATCCAATATTCACTGTCTCCTTTTGTTGAGCACCATAGAGAGATTTTATGTGTTATTTGAACTGTTCTGTGACCTCTTTGGTAAGGCACAAAGTCCAGTTCRACTAAGGAATTTGGGCTGGGATAAGTAGTTACCAAAAGTAAAGATGAATGAGGAAACACTGAAATAATKTCAACCCACAGATGATACAAGGATTGGAATAACAAGAAACAGTGGGGACTTGTTGCAAAGGAGAGGTGTTCATGCCTAACGAGAAAGGCGAGCTAATTGTTGCTGCACTGAGTTCTAGTGTGATAGGTATTCCTATTTTTCAAAACAAAGTAAAATTTTATATAAAATCTCCCGTATTTTTAGTGTTAGTAACTATTTTTATTTTTTAAGTTTACAAATTCAGCTGGGCTTCAGTGGCACACACACATATAATCCCAGGGGCTCAAGAGACTGAGACAAGAGAATTGCAAGTTCAGGGCCAGCCTCAGCAACAGTGGGGCACTAAACAACTCAGTGAGACCCTGTCTCTAAATAAAATACAAAATAGGGCTGGGGATGTGGCTCAGTGTTCAAGTGCCCCTGAGTTCAGTCCCCAGTACCAAAATAAATAAAGTTTACATCAGTCAGGCACATGTGTAATTGTAGTGATTCAGGAGACTGAAACAGGAAGATTGCAAGTTTGAGGCCAGCCTCAGCAATTTACTGAGACTGTCTCAAAATAAAAAGGGTTAGGGATGTAATTCAGTGGTAAAGCACTCCTAGGCTCAATCCCCAATACCCTGGGGGAAAAAAAAAAGCATTTAAAAAATATGATATAGYTAGCTGGGTGTGGTGGTGCACGACTGTAATCCCATTGACTCAGGAGGGCAAAGCAGGAAGACTGAAAGTTTGAGGCCAGACTCAGCAATTTAGCAAGGCCCTAAGCAACTTAGCAAGACCCTGTCTCAAAATAAAAAGGACTGGGGGTGAAGCTCAGTGGTAAAGCACTAATGGGTTCAATACCCAGTACCATAAATAAATAAACAAAATGATGTAACTAAATAAAGCTTGAAGTTTGGGCAATATAACAATCAGAAAGTTGGAATTGTTTCGCACCACCCAAAAAGCTTTCTAGTCCTTTGACACCACCCCCCCACCAACTTCTATGTTTAGCTGGGTGTGGTGGTACACTTCCATAATCCCAGCTACTCTAGACAGGAAGCTAATCTAAGACAGGACGTTCATAAATCCAAAGCCAGAACAAACAAATACCTCAAAATTTAAAAATAAAATAAAAAGGGGAAAATGTATTTCAGTGTTAGAGCACCCATGATACCCTCTCCTAAAACTTCTGTTTGCATTTGTATAGTTTGCATTTAAAACTATTACAGCTATGCATGGTGGCACATGCCTATAATCCCAGTGACTCAGGAGGGCAAAGCAGGAAGACTGAAAGTTTGAGGCCAGACTCAGCAATTTAGCAAGGCCCTAAGCAACTTAGCAAGACCCTGTCTCAAAATAAAAAGGACTGGGGGTGAAGCTCAGTGGTAAAGCACTAATGGGTTCAATACCCAGTACCATAAATAARTAAACAAAATGATGTAACTAAATAAAGCTTGAAGTTTGGGCAATATAACAATCAGAAAGTTGGAATTGTTTCGCACCACCCAAAAAGCTTTCTAGTCCTTTGACACCACCCCCCCACCAACTTCTATGTTTAGCTGGGTGTGGTGGTACACTTCCATAATCCCAGCTACTCTAGACGGGAAGCTAATCTAAGGACGTTCATAAATCCAATGCCAGCCTTAACAAAACCCTATCTCAAAATTTAAAAATAAAATAAAAAGGGGAAAATGTATTTCAGTGTTAGAGCACCCATGATACCCTCTCCTAAAACTTCTGTTTGCATTTGTATAGTTTGCATTTAAAACTATTACAGCTATGCATGGTGGCACATGCCTATAATCCCAGTGACTCAGGAGGCCGAGGCAGGAAGATGACAAATTCAAAGCCAGTCTCAGCAATTTAGCAAGGCCCTAAGAAATTTAGTGAGACACTGTCTCAAAATAAAAAGTAAAAAGGGTTGGGGATGTGGCTCAGTGGTTAAGTGCTCCTGGTTCAATCCATAACACCCCAAAAAAGCAAAAAATAAAACTATGTACAATGTGGATTATATAGGCCAATACCATTCCTGTAAAACAAAGTCCTTATCCTTTTGTTTCATACCTCTCTCACCTCAAGGCATAACCAGATGAAATCATTACTAATGCTAGAACAAGATTAGATTGACATGCCAACTAAGCTCTTGCCTTTGTTCCAGCAGCTATTTTTTAATTTAAAAAAAAAAAAAGCATAGTGTGGTTATGGGCAACAATGCCCTGAGACCTTTGTAGTACAAAGAGTTGGAAGGTGGGACTTAAAAATGCATATTCAATTCTAAAGTTCCCCTGAGATGTCAATGAGCCAATAAAGAAGAAGGAATCCTTGAGCAGCCAGTCACACCTCTTGTTCTATGGGAGAACAGGCAACTACTACAAGAGGCAGGGTAACAGCACCCCAAACCATGGACAGTTTAGGACTTAAGCAGGCCCCGCTTTGGGGTTTTCATCTTTTTGCGAGAGGGTTAAAAAAAAAATGAAAAGTTAGAGAGAACTGAAAGAAGAAAGGATCTGTGACAGACTTAAAGAAACCCTTTTCAAAGCTAGGCACAGCCAGGCAGGGTGGCCCACTACTCAGGCAAGGTAACTCCATCTATTTCCGGAGACTGAAGCAGGAAGACAGAAAGTTCAAGGCCAGCCTCAGCAATTTAGCAATACTGTGTCTCAAAATAAAAAGAGCTAGGAATATAGCTCAGTGGTAGAGGGCCCCTGGGTTCAATCCCCAATATTTAAAAAAAAAAAAAAAAAAAAATCCCATTTCCACAGGGCAATACCTAGACAAGGCTTGGCCTCCTGGCCAGTAGATTGCCCAGTAAGGATCACTGTGGGGCCACAGGTCAGCTCTTTCCCACCAGAACTTGCATCTAGGGGTCAAAAGCCGCAACTGGATTTCAGGGGTGAGGCTGCCRCTGCTGGTGATTTCAGTGTTCTCCTCCAGGAAAGCTTTCATTCCATGGTCCAAAAAGCTTCCTGTTCTTCTCCAGGGACAGTAACCCCAGGGTAACAGGAGAAAACCACTGCCTCTTATAGTCTTCAGAAGGAGACCCCAATGGTTCCTGGGAACTTTCCAACCTAGGCTCCAAGCCATGAGTCGTTTTCCAAAACAGTTCTTTCAGTGTTGCTGTTCATAAAGGCTGTTCCTCATGGGAAAAGAACAAGAGGCTGTCTCCCAACTTGATCACAACTGGAATCTCTGCATCTCTAAAAGCAAAAATAATACTGAAAATTCCAAGGCTAGCCAACATTTCCAGATCCTATTACAAAATAAAATATTTTAGTGTAAGTTCTTTATCTGACAATTCACAAGTGTAAGTTCATGTCAGAGGAAAGCTTTGGTGCATCAACTTAGAAAAATCCAATTCTCTGTTGCCTTTTCACTATGAAATGTTTTGATAATTTAGAACAATAAATACACAAGCATTTCATTTGGGGAGAATGCTCCAAAAAAAAAAAAAATGCCTGTTACATAAAATAAGGTAGATCTTTAAAGTTCTTTCATACACTTAACAGCACACTTATCTTTAAGCAGGCATGCTTGGCAACTGAACAAAATCAGTCCAAAACAGACAAAGCCCCCTGTCTTCAGGAAGCTTATAATTCTACTGGTGGGACAGAGCAGTTAACAAGACAAACATAGGTTTTGCCCTTTTGAAGTCGAGCCAAGACTTGTGGGGGTAAACAAATTATACTATGTGCAGAGGTGCACAAATTATATTGACTATATCATTTCATTAACCTGTGATCCAGGTATAAAAGTTTATAGTATGTAATAGATAATATTATTATTTAATTATATAATAATACAATTATAATATGAACATATATAAACTCTAGATTATGATTTCTAACCTATTTTAATAAGCCTGTGTAAATTTAATTGAACTATTGAAACAATTGAAAAATTGGAAACTTTGGACTTAAAGATTATCATAYCAGCAAGTGTGAGGACACAAACCTGTAGACCCAGCTACTGGAGAATCTGAGACAGGAAGATTCCTTCAGCCCAGAAGTTCAAGGCCACCTTGGATAACATAACTAGACCTAGCTCAAAAACAAAACAAAAAAACAGTTGTCTGCCAGGCATCATGGCACATGACTGTAATCCCAGTGACTAGGGGAAGCTGAGGTAGGAGGATCTCAAGGTCAAAGCCAACCTCAGCAAAAGCGAGGTACTAGGCAACTCAGTAAGACCCTGTCTCTACATAAAATACAAAATGGGGCTACGGATGTGGTTCAGTGGTCAAGTGCCCCTGAGTTCCATCCCCAGTACAAAAAAAAAAAAAACAGTTGTCATATCATAAAACAATGCAATCAAGATTCAGATTTTTCCCCCTTGGGAAAAAAATACCTTATAAATTAAATTTTACTAAAGACATCAACTCCCAAATCTCTTTCTGTAAATCTCTGAAGATTTGATGTTACTAAGCTTGACTGCAGATTTTTTCTTACAGAAAAATACCTTGATAAGTAGGAATGAGGAATATCATCTTAAACAAAAATCATCACCGCATTTTAGAATCTGGTATTTTGTTTGTTTGTGGTGCTGGGGATTGTGGTACTACCTCTGAGCTACRTCCCCTGCCACACACACACATACTTTTTTCCCCTCCCTGTGGTAGTGGAGWTTGAACCCATAGGAACTGAACTACATCTCTAGCCCTTTCTAGTTTAAACTTATTTTGAGGCAGGGTGTCACTAAGTTTCCTAGGCTGGCCTTGAATTTGTGATCCTCCTGCCTCAGTCTCTCAAATCACTGGGACTACAGGACTGCGGAGGGCATAAATGTTTTGCAAAGTCTTGTGTCCACCCAATATTTAGACTAGGAAGTCAAAAACCTCGAATGCCTACAAGTGTCTAGACATGATAAGTGAGTGAATAATGCAGGATGTTTGTAGGATATCAGAAGGGCTGCAGCACACTAGAGACTGCAGCCAGGAACAAGTTGCTACATCTTCCAATTTCTCAAAATAATCCAGATATTTATRCATAAACTCCCACTAAAAAACTGGCAATTCATTCAAATATCAAAAAAACAGGGCAGGCCAAAGACTTCGAACAGTGTTAGTTATCCCACATTTATGCCTGGGCTTCCAAGGGATCCCTAGTRTCCTGACCTCCAATAGACTACTTATGCTTAGCAGTACAGGGTTTTACCCCTTCAATCATACACTTCTAAGGTTTTAAAATAAAAAGGGCAAATATGAGGTTATTTTTTTTATTTGGAYTCCATGTCATCAAGACCAATGCTTCCCCTTCCACCCTTGCACCAATGAAGACTCGGTTATGAAGCGCTTGTTTGGTGACCTCCTGATACATACRTTAAATGTTAGGAAAGATGACGGGACTAGAACAGGTGCTTTGTGACCACGATATTGTCCTCCAGGGGAGGCCAGGAGTCGATCTTAAAGGAGCAGGCGCGGTCCTCCTGGTCTCCTCTGGCTTTGCTAACGCCGCGGTCGGAAGGAAAGCACACCGCACGATTATCATCTGTCCCCGCGACTCTTCACGCTCAGTACAACCGCGCGACGGGCCGAGGTCCCACGCTGAGGCGCGCGCCCGAGASCGGCAGACGACGGGGTCGCGGAGCTTCCGGGCGGGCGGCGGGACCACGCGGCCCCGCCCTCCTTCCCAGCAGCGCTTTCGTTTTTCCTCCACTTTAAGTCTTAAAGGGGCAGCAAGTGAGAAATCAGAGGGCGACCTTCCTTTCCCTCACTTAGGAAATGGACTGTGTGCAATGTTTGTCAAAATCTAATTTTTAAAAAATTCATTCTGAAACAATTTACGCAGCTCYTCCTATGTGCAAGTCACACCTCTAGGCACTGGACATACAGTAGTGATTAAAACAGACACTTGCAAGCCCCTTGTTGTTATAGTCTGAATTTAATCAATATAGGTTATAGGTTATAAATTATAGATTAGAAATTATGGGTTAATTAAATATTAATTAGTAAGAATAAAAGGATTATAAGATAATTGTATAAAATTAGTAATGATAAGGTACTCCAATATGCCATAGTTATAAGTTAAAAAAAATAACAATACAACAATATAATCACTCTAAGATATAGGATTTAAATTACTAAGATAAAGATAATGTGAGTTTTAAGTGTAATCTCATAGGTCTAATATAG